GACTCAGGGTGAGAGTGGAGCTAACTTCGCATGTAATGGAGGGAGGGAGCCACAATTCCAAGCTCTAAGACCTCTGAGCAATGTCTGAGGCCATGAATCTTGCTTCACGGAGAGAAGAAAGGGAAGAACAAAGCCAGGCACCTGTAATCCCCACTTGGGAGGCAGAGGCAGGTTAATCTCTGTGACTACAAGGCCAGACTGGACTACATAATGAAACCCTGTCTCGACTAAAAAAAAAAAAAAAAAAAAAAACGGGCTGGAGAGATGGCTCAGGGGCTAGGAACACTGGTTGTTCTTGCAGAAGACCCAGGTTCGAATTCCAACCCACATGGCAGCTAACAACTGTTCGGAACTCCAGTTCCAGGGGATCTGATGGCCTCTTCTGACCGCTGCAGGCATTGCATGACACGGATGCACTTATCTACATGCAGGCAATACACACATACGCATAAAATAAAAGTAATAAATGAAATATTTTTAGCCAGGTGTGGTTCCACACACCTTTAATCCCAGCATTTGGGAGGCAGAGGCAGGTAGATCTTTGTGAGTTCGAGGCCAGCCTGGTCTACATAGTGAGTTCCAGGACAGCTGGGGCTACAGGGAGACCCTGTCTCAAAAAAGATAAAAAAACAAACAAAAATTTTAAAAGGAAGGAAGGAAGGCAGGCACGCAATGAAGGCATGGTGGTTCGCACTTATAATCTCAGCATTTGAAAGGCTGAGGCAGGAAGTTTGCCTTAAGGCCAGCCTGGACTACATAGCAAAACTCTATGAAAAAAAAAATCTGGGGCACACTCATTCATTAATTGGAAGATTAAAAATGCATCTTTACTGAGTGCCAAGTGTTTGTAGACCTGTGGTAGGGTGCCCTGTAAAGTCTCAGGCCAGTACAGAAATTGAAATATCAGACTGGGCACAACAGTGAAGGCAGCAGCCCTTGCTCCCATGCTAGATGGGAGTCAGGAAGGTTTCTCAGAAGAAGGTAGCCCCCTAGCTGAACTCTGAAGGGGGAGCAAGTGTTGGCTACCTGAAGGGACAGCATGTGCAAAAGCCCGGGAGTAAAAGGGGCAAGAGGAAGAGGGATGCACATTTATTTGCCAAGGTTGGCTTAGGGTCATACAGGAGGTAAGGAATGAGTTAGCCCCTGGTCCTCCTGGAGCCAGTGTTCAGGTACCAGTATGCTGCGCGGTTTGGGGGACTGTAGCAAAAGCATCTTAACATGTCTCCAATCACATCATGCAATTATTGGACACCACCAAGAAGAACAAAGGTCCAGGACTGTGAATGCACCAATGTGAGTTATATGGGGAGAGGGTGGTTTTGAAGCTATGTTTGGGAACATAAGTAGAGGCCCAAGGCTGCCTGGAAGATACCTCTCCACCAACACAGCAGCCTCTGAGCCTGTTCTCCCTGAAACCCCACCGTTAGCATCCCATGGACTCCCCAGCCTTTAGGGGCAGATGACCCTTCAAGATTTCAATCTTGGCTGCCCCAGCTGTGCTTTTTTTTGGAACCACACCAGGTCTTTTGGAAACTACTGATCCACATCCAGGGAGGTTGATGGGAAACTGGGGCCTAGAAGGGAAGAAACGTGCCCTCAAGGTCACACATTGTCAGTTAGTGACTGACACAGAGTGCTAATAAACCAAGGTCAAGGGCCCTGGTGTTTAGGTCCCGGTTCTGTCATTGGGTGACCTTGGGAAAGTTCCAGGGCCTTCCTCCCATACAAGATATGAGTAGTAATTCTATACATGTCTCACAGGTTTGCTGTGACGGTAAAAGGAGGGGGGACTATGTAACATGAACAGCTCAGACCAAATACCCAGCTCATAAGGGGCAGGTCATGGTGACCTACAACTGAGCTTCTCAAACTTTGAGAAGGCTGTAGCTTGATCCACTGTTCACCCTCACCCCTTCCTCCCAGGCTTTGGTTGTCACTTTCTCATGCCCTGTCCCACACTTGAGTTTGGTTTTCCCACCTGTCCTTGCCAGGGTCTACCCAGTGAGTCGCCTGGCAAGTTGCCTGGGCAACCCTTTCTGACGTCAGGGCAGTTCTGGCAGCTGGCCCAGAGAGGAAGCAGCTGGTGGCTGATCATGTTTCCAGGTAAATCCCCACCCCCACTGGCACCCGCATTCTGGGAGCAGGGAGAGGGTGGAGAGGAGGGACAGGCAGCCGCTGAGAAATAGAACAGGTACAAAGGCCTGGAGCTGCTAGGGACTGCATGTATGGTACAGTTTTGAGACCTGAAACAGGGCCAGCTTCTGCCCCAGATAAGGTGGCATGTGGCCTACTTGGGCCTGCCCTGGAGGTCCCTTGTGTGCGCCTCTCCCAAGTTCTGGGTAGGGATGGGTTGGCTTCTGAAAGTAGGCTAAGGCCCGATTATAATCGGCACAAGCCCCTGGGCACGTTCACCAGCCCTCCAGAACGAGGACCACTGCTGACACTTATTGAGCACCTACAGTGTTCTTTCTTGGCAATAATTCATTGTGCTCTCACAACAACCCTATACAGAGGGAATTAAGATGCCCTGTCTTCTCATTTCACAGACAAGAAACAGGCACTGAGCCATGAAGATAAATGGCCAAAGCCAACAGCTAGCAAGGGCAGAGCTAGCTAGAATCCCACCCAGTTTCTGGGAACCCCAGGTGTCAGGGAGATAAAGCCCAAAGTGTGAACTTGGCAGGGGTGTGTTTGGCTGCTGCTTTACATTTCTGTAGGGATCCTGACTTTCTGCCAAGAAAACTAGGTCTCCAACTTGTGTGATGGACATTTAGCAACTGAGGGAACTGCCCCTCCCAGGACTCAATTTCCCTATCTGTAAAAGACAGTGTCGCCTGTGGGCTGTCAGGCAAATAAAAACGGAAGCAGCCACTTAGAAAGGCTCATGTGACATCATGCTTCAGTGTCCCCATCTGTCAAATGGAAGAGCATACTGGGGCCCTCATTGGGTGTGGTGGCACACACTCATAGTTCCTCCAGCACTCTGGAGGCTGAGGCAGGAGGATTGTTTGAACCTAGGAATTTGAGACCAGTGTGAACATATTGGAAAATGTCTTATAAAAAGAGAAAACAATACTGATGCTTGCCTCTCTTGGTCACCATATTCATCTCTGGGGTGTAGCTTACTTACAAAGAGCTCAGTGTGGTTTGGGGTTTGTAGTTTGTATTCCACAGATCTCCAAAAGTCCATCGTTGCCCAAAATACTCCTTGGTACAAAACATTCAGGATGCTTCACATCTCTTAATCTGTTTCTTCTGTAAATTAAGAATGTGACACAGGGCCTACTGTATCAGTTTTCTCATCTATAAAATGTAGGTGACAATGCCTAGCTCACATAAATGTGAGCTTATATGCACTTTGCTATGTTAATGTTAGTTGCTGTATGTGTGTTGCTCTTAAGAATTGAACCCTGGGCTTTGCACACTTGCCTGCTACCATTTAACTACACTACCATCTCTTTCTATTATCTTTAACACATTCCTCATAGGGCCTTTCCCAAAAGTAAAGTGTACTATGCAGATGGTACACTTAGCACAATGCCTTATTCCCATACAGGCGCTCAATAAATGATATTGGCTATTTTCGCGTGGTGGAGCGCGCCTTTAATCCCAGCACTCAGGAGGCAGAAGCAGGTGGATCTCTGAGTTAGAAGCCAACCTGGTCTACATAAGAGTTCCAGGCCAGCCAGGGCTACACAGTGAGACCCTGTCTCAAAAAACAGGAAGGAAGGAAGGGAGGGAGGGAGGGAGGGAGGGAGGGAGGGATGGAGAGAAAGTGGTTTTTTAATCCTAGGTCTTTGACAAAGGGACTACAAGTACCAGCATGCCCTGCGTGTCCAGTCGGGGCCCCTTCGCTCGACTCAAGCGCTCAGCATACTGGGAGTTGCAGTCCTTACAAAACAGGCCCCGCCTGGTCCCAGCTAGGGGAAGAAGGCTGGAGGGCCGCCCTGCCGGCCTTTGAATTTTGCCGCGAAAAGCGCGCGTGGCGGCCTCCGGCCCCGCCCCCCGGAGGACGCGGCGCCGCGTCACCCTGGTAACCGCCTCTCGTCCGCCGCTGATTGGGCTGAGACGCGGGGGGTGGGCGGGGGGCTAGACGCTGCGGCCGCTGCGGGCGCTCGCGCCTGTCAGTCGCGCTGGAGGTGAGCAGCGGCAGGACTCCTGGGCCGGCAGCTTAGTGAGGAGGCTGCGCGCGCGGACAGGGGAGGAGGAAAGCCGGGCCCGCTGCCTGCGGGGCGCCTCGCGCTGCACCCGGCCCGAGGCTAGGCGAGCGCGCCGAGGCTGCGGCCCCGGGAGCCCGGTGCGGAGCCCGGGGCCGTGGGCGCGTGAGAGACCGCCGCGCACCGCCCCTGCTGCAGCCCTGGAGCTCGCACGCCCGGTACACGGTTCTCCAACGCCGAGTCCTCCCTGCGCCAACCGCATCTGCTAGTCCTCCGCTCCAAGGCCCGCGGAGCTGCATCCCAGGCTCCGCCGCTCGCTGCGGCCGCCACTGTCGCTGCTCTCCGGCTTCCCCTCCCCCCACACCCGGGGCTGCGAGCCGGAGGAGGAGGGGCCGGTGCAGGCTCTCCCCTGCTCTTCGCAACCTGCGGGGGCCGGTGCGTGCGGGACGTGGAGCCGGGGCCGCTGCAGGTGCGTGCAATCCTTGGAGGACGACCCTTTCATCCCGGAGCACACCCCGGAGCTGCAAGCTGAGGGTGGGCGGGCGAGCGAGCGAGAGGAAGCAACAAAGACAGGCTGCAGCTGGGGCTGGAGAGGGGCCGCGGCCGCCGGGCTCCCAGCGCGGACCGAGAGGGCGCCCTGGGAGAGGCGCGGGCAGAGCTGCAGCGGTGAGCGGGGCCCCGAGGGGAGGCGCAGCGCCTCCCGCCGGACGCGTGGAGCACAGGCTCCGGCGAGGATGCGTCGCCTGAGCGCCCGAGCGGCCCGGGTCCCGGGTGGACGCGACCGGTGGTGAGCGGAGAAGCACCCCCCCACCCCGACTTCGGACCACGCCTCTGGGCACCAGGATCACCGTCACCTATAGCTCACCTTCCCACCCGGAGAGGGCATCGGCCCCCGAGTGGGGCTTCCACTGCTACACTCTGCCGTCCTTGCTTGGTTGTAACCGCCGACTGGAGCGTTGTGGCCTCTGAGACCTGGTGCCCTTCCACCGCCAGGCTGATCCGGTGAGTGGCGGGGGTGGGGGTCGGGGGTAGGGTTCTGGGCTCTAACTGGGGGCACTCCCTGGCATTCGGGCAGCCTGGACTGGCCTAAAGGGGCCCTAGGTTGTTGGGCACCCTGAAGCAGCATGCTCCTTGTCCACCCCTGTCCCGCCCACATAACTTATTTGGAGTGGCCAGTGACTGCAGTGGCAGTGAGGACCCCTGGTGGGTGGGTATTCTGCTGGGCTTTGGCAGATGCCAGAAAGGAAAGGTCACTCCACCCATGAAGCAGACAAAGGTAATGGCTCTGCCCTCTGAAAATTCCCAGGGAACTCTTGCAGTCCTGGAGAGACATTGAGGAGTCCTCAGGATGGACCAGCATTTAGTGTTCTCACAGCAACCTTTGAGATCTTAAAGGGTCATGGCTCAGAGGATATATGGGGTCCCGCAACCCATGCCTGAGGATCATGCCCTCTGGGGCTTAATCGTAGCAGGACTTTTCCATTCAGCACTTATCCCCCAAATAACTCACAGGGACAGCATGTTCCCTGTACGACTGCATGTGACATCACGGTCCAACTTGTGATGTAATCAGGGTTGCTGTGACAATGCAGTTGGCCTTGACCCAGGGCCAGAATGGGCAGGCCTCGATGTCATTGGATAGCGACAGGGTAAGACCAACTGCCCCCATCCTCCCACTGCAATCTTATGACTTAAATCCCTGGGCATCACCAGCGGTGGGGGAGGGAGGCAGTGCCAGCTGCCCCTGCTGATGCCCCTCCTCCCAAGGACAGGTGTTCAGAACTTTGCCCATGTCTCCTGGCAGAGTTCAGAACTCCCAGACAGAGCAACTTAATGCTTTTTAAGCAGGATGCTAAAAGGGAGGCTTCTCTGAACCCCACTATATACCCAGCCAGCAGGCTGAAGTTCCCAGGATCCCCAGAGAAATGCAGGCTTCAGCCTTCAAACAGGCTACTCTCTCCTGAAAATGTGAATGCTCTGCCTGCCAGCCAGAGAAGGTGATCGAGGAACTGCCTATGCCATTCTCCTTACCGTGTTTAAGATGATTTTGACAGGCAGTGTGATTGATGCTTATTAGGAGGATGTGGGGCAAGTCGGAACTAAGGTCTGCACATGGAATCCCAGCCAGGGGCCAACCAGGATGGGTGGAGAGGACAAGAGCCCTCCTTTTCCCCACCAAACTCCAGCATTGACCCTGTCCAGCTCAGAGCCCAGAGAAAACCCCTAAGCCACATCTTGCTTCTGTGTGCATGTGCATCCCAGCAATTACTGCCAGCATCAGATGTGGGTGAAACAGCAAAGATCACATTTCTAGGAAAAAGGTTCTAGAATGGTTGCCATTGCCCCGGCAGTGAGAGACCGGATGAGGGCACAAAAGGAGTGAGGGGCATTCTGAGAAGCCTGGCCTAGTTCTGCACAGTGAACATTTTTCTCGTCCTCCTACCAGACTCAGATGAACAGGTCAATAGAGTATCAGAGAGGCTGCTTTGGGGGTTTGACAGGGAATGGTATTTCTGGCTGAAAGGGTATCCTTAAAGGGTATCTTTAAACACAAGCTTCTGAAGACAGCCTTGCAACAGCAGATTGGGGGAGAATAGGGAGCTGTGGGCACAGGGCTGTTTGCATGGCCTCGTGTCGCTTCCCAGTTTAGAAACAAACTCCAACTTGGAGTGTGCGCCAGAGCTCCATGCACACAGGTGGTTGGAGGCCCTCTGTGGAGTATTTACACTTCCTCAGCCAAAGCAGAGGGAAAGGCTGTCAAAGTTGGGCAGCTCCCTCTGTTCCCTTCCCTCAGCTTGGCAGTGAGCACCAGACGATGAGCAGGGGGAGTGCCAGTTTACCCAGCATCTGCCTGAGCGCCTGGCACTTTGTATCATCTCACATGCTTATTGGAGTGACTCACGTTGTGACCCATTCTGCAGATGAGGAAGGTGAGGCTCAAGCCAAGGAAGTGAGCAGTTCCCTGGGTGCTCAGCCAAGTAGCTGCAGAGGGCTGGCCTCCATGGCCCTGGCTTCCAAGTCCCCAGGGCCTTCCTGACTCCATCCATGGGGAGAGTGGAGGCACTGCCTTGTCCCTGGGTAGAGGGAAGGCACCCCTGTCTTTGGAGAGGGGTCTCTGCACAAGACGGCCTTTGGAGGGATGCTTCATCTACACCTCCCCCCAAACCCAGAATTGAACCTATTTCTCCATTACCTCCAGGACACGGTTGAGCAGAGTGGCAACTTCTACCAGACCCTGAGCTCAGCTTGCTCCCTCACCTGCTGGACCCCTTGCTCTAGCACCTGGGGAAGGAATGCATAGCATGAAACCCACCTGCCAGAAACAGGAGAGCCAGCCTCTGCGCCTTGTCATCTGCCTGCCTGGCCCCCTTTGCTTACTTGGAGGGCCTCAAGGCCACCCTCAGCTGCACCGGGCTCCCAGCCTTCTGGCAGGCACTCAGCTGGTGGAAGGCAGGGATGTAGATGGCACTTTAGTAGATGGAGCCCCTGACCTAGCATCAGGTGGGGGCGTGCCCGTGGGAGGGTGTCATATGAATCCCAGAAGGGACAAATAGAAGAGCAATCAGGAGGTTTCTTCTGGTGGGCCACAGCTATCCAAGGACTGAATGGGGCCGGGTGGCCCTCAGGTGGCTGTGTTCTAGAATCTCGGGTGATAGCACCCCTGCAACCTTCTCAGGAATCCGCTCACTTGTCTGATGCCATGTAAGCTCATCCGTGTCCTAACTGTTGGAGCCTTGCAGTGCTCTGAACTACAGGTAGGCCCTGCGGTATTGCCTGACCCCCTTGATGAGAACTTTGAGACTCCCCAGGTGGCATTTGCACATGCCAGAAGCAAATTTTGGAATGGGTTGGTCTTGGTCTGACTGGCTGTGTGACCCTGGATGTATAGCTGTGCCTGGCTGAGCCATGGTTTCCCCATCTTCCAGAGGGGGAGCCTCAAGTGGCACACACTGCCCAGGGGTGTGGTGCAGGCTGTCACATACAGTGAGTGCTCCATAAATGCAGTTTTACACCTGCTGTTAACATCATGCCCAGCCTTCCCAGTCTCTCGGAGCCAAAAGCAAAAGACTCGGTTCCAGGGCAGGGGTCTCTACCATTCCAGTTCCCCTGCAAGGGCGCCCCCACCTGCTGGGCACACGTGGCTCCCGTCAGAGTGCCAGGGGCCTCTGGAGCCTTGCCCGGTTCTCTCCCCAACCTCCCTCCTGCCCCTCTGCTTTGCCAACCCTCCCTAGCCGGGAGGAAGCAGGCTAGCTGCTCGTATTCATGAACCGTAATTCAATCAGGCAGCGATTCCTCCAGGCTGGGCGGGGGTGAGAACGAGGAGGCGCGCACAAAAGGGCCGCTTTATTACCTCCTGCGGGCCGGGGAATTGCTGCTCTCCCCCAGTAGCGGCCGGAGCCGCCTTATTGTGTTAACCCATTTGCGTGTCAAGAGCTATTGTGCGCTTTCTCCGCCTGTGCGGTGCGGCCGAGGGAGGAGGGCTGCGCTGCCCGCCGGTCACCTCCGCGGGCGCCGCCCGCCGCCCTGATTGGTTGCTAAGCGATTTGCATCCAAGGTAATCACTTTTATCTCAGAAGGATGTCGACTATAATTATAAGCTACTGACATCTTTTGAAATCTGCCTAATGACTATTTTAGTCTGCCCGGGTTGGGGGTGGAGAGGGGGATTCTGCGAAGGGATGGAGGCTGGTGGGGGGAGTACATTCCTTCCACCTGGACCACTGATTGCTTAGCGGAGAAACAGCTGAATGCCTACTGAGCGCCTCAAACAAAAGGCAAGCCAGTGACTGGTGAGGAGCTTACATTCCCGTGGGCAGAGTTAGTGCCATTTCATTGACAGGGAAATAGAGGCCCCTGAAGGAACCACCTGCTCAGAGCCACATGGCCAATAGATGCCTGGTATCTGGGCATAGTGCCGTTTTATGCCTGTGATTAGCATAATGTCCACCTCTCCCTGTCTCTTGGTGCAAAAAAAAAAAAAGACTCAGTTCCAGGGCAGGGCCATTACTCTTACAGCACCCTTACAAGGGGGCTCCTACATGGTGAGCCCCTCTCAGACCCCCTTACCCATTTTACTGGTGGGCACAGGGAGGGTATGTCCATGCCCAAGGCCACACAGCCAGGAGATGGAGGACTGTGGGTAGCTGAGGTGGGGAGGGGGGTAGTGAAGAGAAGCTGGGTGGGTTAAGGATCTCTTGGCTCGCCTCTCTTGCTAGCTCCTTTGAATAGACTCAGCCTTGATGAGGGCACCCTGGTGTGACCACTGCCCATGGGACAGTAAAGCTCCAAGAAGGAGAGGCCTTTATAGAGTAAGGTGAGTCTGTAGGGCCCTGAATTGAGTGGGAGCAGGGCTGGAGGGGAAAGCCTGAGGAGGAAAGGTAAAGGAGGGATAAACTAGTGAGGTGTTGGAGAGACTCCTTGAGGTCCAAGCTAAGGATCCCACGTGGTTCAGGGAAGGGGAGGGGCTACATCATGTCCTGGGAGCTAAAGAGGTCAGCAAGAGACTTGAGTCCTTAGCCCTGCCTGGGATGGAACTCTAGCTCCTACGTGGTCACTGGACATGTATGTTCCCAAACAGGCTGCTTGACCCCTCTTGGCCTCAGTTTCCTTACTAGTATAAGAGCAATAACAGTTTGCCTATGGGCTTGTGGGTGGGAAAGGTGTGTGTACAGGACACTCTTGGGAGCTGTCGAGATGGGTGAGCTAGGCTCAAGCCCTGACCAGTCACCTCATCCCCATAGCAAGCCACTGTCCAGCCCTAGCAGCTGTTTGGGGCCCCAGGGAACTCCTGTTGTGTAGAGGGCCCAAGGGACAAAGGCTTGGGAGGTCATGGGGTGAGGCCAGAGGAACTGGCTATGAACAGGCTCCCAGGAACAGAGACTCAATGACACAGAATTTAATGACCAGCGCCTGTGGGGAAAGGAGTCTCCTTTGGACGAGGGAGTCCAGCCACCAGCTCTCTGCTTCAGGATTTGCTTCTGGGACAGGTGGCTGCCTAGCAG